CCTCAGGCCAGGGAAAAGGCCCCCGTTCTTCTGACCTCACCTCCGATCTCTCCCACCTCCTCTCTCGGCTCTCAGGGCCCCCAGGACGCGGGCCCTGACCTGCAGGACTGACCTACATACTGGCCCGCAGGACTGACCCACGGGACATGGGGACTAGGCACAGGACACGGGGCCTGACCCATGGCACTGACACAGGACTGACCTTTAGGACATGGGGACTTACCCCCAGCACTGACCCCGGGGCACAGGGCCTGACCCCCAGGTGGGCAGAGAGTCCCTGAACAAGACTGAAGCAAAAAGGTTCCAGTGGGCTGGGTGAGGGACTGGGAGAACCCCGCGATGAGGCGGGTGGAGGGTGCTGGGGAGAGGGGGCTCGGGGCACCTCCCCCCGCACATCAGGCGACAGCAGCCTTTCGGCCAGGGACCCTGCCAGGCTTGCTTTGCCAGCAGCACAGCAGCTGTGGGGGTGCCTGGAGGCCCCCAGGGTCCCTTAGTTCTAGCACCGTTGCTCCTTGAGTGTTTGGCCGAGAGGGCTGGGAGTGAGGTCCCCGGCCCCACAGCTACCAAGACAGGGGCTGTGGCAGGGCTCCAGGGGGCTTCCCAGAAGCACAGCCCCCCCCACCCAGTTGTGCATCCGCCCAGCCTGCCAGAGGCTTCTGTCCCTCCTCTGGCTGGGGACTGGTGGTCTGGCCCACCCCTGGGACCCCCATTTCTGGGACATGCCCCACGTGTCGTCACTCAGCTTCTCTGGTGGGGTGGGGGGAAGTGGGGAAAGCAAAGACCGTTTGGGGGGTGGGGCGCTTCTCCCCTGGAGGGTGGGTGCTGGGGTGTGGCGGCTGCGAGGTGCTCCTGAGGGTCCTTCCTCTGGGGGTCACGGGTAGTGGGAGTCCCGGGAGGAGGGGCTTCGTCTCAGGCCAGGAGGACAGAGAAGCAGGGAGGGCACGCTGACGTCAGCCCAGCTGGGGCCCAGGGGCACCAAGGCTTGGGGCCACAGGCAGGAACCATCCCAGGCCCGTGGGTCCTTCTAGGGAACAGGCCCCAGGGACTGCAGGTGCGTGGGGTGCAGGGGCCATGCCAGCGGGCGTGTCCCGGGGCTGATGGAGGCCCAGAGGCCGCCGGGCTGGAGTTTGGACCTTACCGAGCCCGCGGGAACGGAAACGGGATTGCTGTCTGCCCGGTGCTGGTGCCTGGAGGCAGGTTCGGGCTGCCCAGTCAAAGCCATGTGGGGCCCTTCTGCTGTGGCCTCCGTGGGCAGCCACCCAGGGCTGTCCCTGGAACCAGGCCACGAGGGTGTGGCCGCGTCCGGGTCCCTGCGGGCTGCGGTCTGGGGGCCCTTCCAAATTGGCTGACTTAGCCATGAAGGTGTGTGGCGGGGGCGGGGGGGGGGGTCCTTCTGTGGCGCTGACCTCAGAGTGGCCACGTCACCCGTGGACCGGACAATGCTGACTGGCGATCACAGCCCGGGCGTGCGTGTCAGATAATACCATGAATCACTGCCCGCTATCTGCTTGGGGCTGAGGGATCCGCACTCTGCCGCGGGCCTTCGTACCCACGGTGGTCTGAGATGCCCCCCCAGGTGGTCTGAGGTGCCCTGTGGCGCAGGGAGCAGAGGTTGGGTGCCGGCAGGGCCAGGCGTGGGGCTGGGGCTCGGCTGCGGTCGCCCTTGCTGATTTCTCCCTCCCGTGTCCACTTCCGGCCTGTCTCTGAGCCGGGTCATCTCTGGAGGAAGAGCTGGGAGCGCAGAGACGCACAAGCGAGCCACAGGCCAGGCCGGCCTCCTCTCGCACCTCTTGGCACCCGCCCTGCACCCTGCTCCCTGGACTCTACCCCTTTGAGCGGGGTGTGTGTGTGTGTGTGGGGGGGGGTCAGTACCGACTCCAGCTGTCCTGGGCTCACGGCCACCCTCCCCAGGGGTCTGAGACCGGGAGCAGGGCAGGGCCTGGGGCGGTCAGTATCCCTGTGTGATGCGCGGGGCTGCAGGAAGGGGCTGGGGAACTCGGCTCCTGGCCAGGTGCCCAGGAAGCCCCAGCCTCCTGCGTGTCCTTTCCTCCCCCATCAGGGACTCCTTCAGGGACCTTGGGGTCAGGGAACAGCCCTTAGGAGGGTCCTGCCTCTGGCCCTTCCCCAGTCCTCGGGCCTAGCTCCCCAAAGGCCCGCCCGAGGCAGGGCCAGTGCCCGTCAGGATGGCCAGCAGCTACCCCGCACTGCTGCTGTGCGTGGGCCCCTGGGCAGAGTGCCAGGCTCCTGTCCCCTTCCCCCCTCCCTCTCCCAGGAGGCTGGTAGATTGCAGACCCGTGGAAGGCCCCTGCTGGCCTCCAGACCGTGGGCAGCAGGGCCCTGCTCTGGCTCCTGGGCACCCATGGAGACACGGGGGCCGTGGGAAAGGGCCCAGGCAGCACGTGGACAGAGGCCGGCCACCAGCTCCGGGCTCTGCCCCGGCTCCGCCTGCAGGACTGGTCCCTGGCCCTTGTGAGTGCAGGATCACGTGGGCCCTCCTGGGGGAAGGTTCTGGAAGCAGCCAGGGCGTCCTTTGGCCCAGACAGCACGGCTGAGACAGCAGCTGCCAACAGGCCTCCCTGGTGCTGTGGCGGCTCCCGGGGCGGCTCCTGGGCCCAGACTTGCCACAGCCTCCGTCTGCATCGGGGCCCAGCCTAGGCAGGGGCAGAGCCGCAGGGCAACCCAAGCTGGGACCAGCCTCTGGGAGGTTGGGCGTGGCCAATTCCCCTGCTCTCCACAGGGGGTGCCAGGCCCCCCCACCCCCGGGACCCCCCACCCAGGAGAGCCCAGGGTGGGCAGGTCCCAGCCAGGTCCCACCCTCTGCAGGCACCGGGTGGCGCTGGGGCTGGGTGTCCCAGAGAGGGGCCCTGGGCACTTCCCAGGACCTGCTGGGGGCCTGAGGGGTGTGTCTGTGGGTGTTTCCTGGAAGGGGCCGGCGGTGGGGAAGGCAGAGGTGGGAGCTTCTTCCCACAGGCGGCCTGCCCGGGCCTGCCCGCTCGGCGGCTCTCCCTCGGATCCATCCCCTCCCAGACCCCCCCTGCTCCACAGCAGCCTGTGGTCCCAGAGGTCGGTGCCCAGCTCTGCAGGCCTGGGGTCCTGGTGGGCGTGTCTTATCCCCTGGGGGGTTGCCGGACTGGGCTCTAATAACAGTCATAAGAGCCCGTAAATACCACTTAGGGTCTCTGCCTTCTGCTTATCTCCCAGCCCCGTGTGGGCCTCCTCCCCCTCCCCACGGGAGGGGAAACTGAGGCAGAACGGATGCGGTACAGGCTTGTCTGGCTCTAGGTCAATCCCTCCACCTTCCTCCCCCTCCCCTCCCTGCCTCTGCCCTCTCCTAGGGTCCTGAGCGGAAGGCCGGGAGCCCAGGCTGGCTTCCCCTCCGGGCCCCCTGCGCCCACTCCCCCAGGTGGGCACGCAGCAGCGGCTGTCACGGAGCAGAGGGCGCTGGTGTGGGCCTGGCCCGGCCAGCAGAGTGCGAGGTCGGATTCCCCAGTGCCCGTGGAGTGCCCCTTGGCTAAGGGCACAGCGGGGGGGCCTGCGGGGCTTGGGGCCTGTTGGTGCCTGCGGCCGCTCCTGCCTCACCCACGCGTGTCCAGCGTGGTGTCCAGCGCCGTCCGGAAGGACGTCTAGGTGTTCTGGAGTGGGTGGGATGACACGGATGGGTGCCGGGATGGGATGGTGGCACCGAACAGGGGTGTGTTGGGGAGAAGCTAGACCAGGGGCTTTCTAGAGAGGGGACCAAGCAAGACCCAAAGGACAGGCCCGGGGACCCGAGAACAGGGTTCCCCAGCCAGTGACTGCCCCCTGTCCATCCTCAGGTCACTCCTGCCCCACTTCCCTGGTCATACTGGTGTGCTGGGGCCCAGCTTGGACCCTGGGCAGGGAGGCAGCTGCTCCCTGGGGGTGGCCACCCGGCACCCTCCTCCCAAGAGCTGGCTGGCTTCCAAGGAGTGCGTGGGGCTCGCCCTCACACCCACCCCTCGGCTCCGGGAGACCCCAGGGGGCCTCCTTGGGCGCTCTGCACTCGAGGCAGGGCAGAGCGGTCCAGGGCGCGCACCCAGCCCCGGCCAGCGCCCAGCCCCAGGAAGTCTGGCGACGAGTGCGCACGCGGCCCGCTGCGCTGCAGGACGGCGCAGGGGGTGCCCAGGGGCCTGTTTTCTCTTTGGCCTAGAAGTATGTTTGCGTGGGTGGACCAAACCCGGAGAGGGGGCGCGGGGGGAGAGCGGCCCGACTGGGGAGACGGGCAGGGCTCGCGCCACGGGGCCTCAGTTTCCCCACGTGCCGGCCGCTCTGTGGTGGCTCGGGGCTCGGGCCGGGCGAAAGCGCGGCTGGCCTGGCCGCTTTGTGTGGCCGCACAGACAATGGCCAGACCGCTCTCGTCCCTCCTCCTCCTCCTCCTCCTCCCCCTCCTCCCTCTCCTCCCCCCTCCGCCCCGCGCGGATAGTTTTTTTTTTTGGCAGGCGGGGAGGGAATTCAGCTCCCGCCCCCGCCGCGCCCGCCTCCTCCCACGCCGCCTCCGCGCGGCTCCCGGGACCCCCTGGCGGAGGCAAACTTGCAAGTTTGCAGGGCGCGCGCCACTCGGCGGCGGCGGCGGCGGCGGCGGGGGCGGGGTGCGGGGCGCGCGGCCCGGCGGCGGGCGGGGCGGGGCGCGAGCCGAGGGGCGGGGCGCGCGGGGGCGGGGCGCGGCGCGCGGCGGGGCGGGGCGCGGGCCGCGGGGGCGGGGCGCGGCGCGCGGCGGGGCGGGGCGCGGGCCCCGGGGGCGGGGCGCGCCCGGGCGGCGCTGCGCCGAGCCCGCGCCCGTCGCGGGCTCCCCGCGGCTCCCCCCACCCCCTCCGCCGGCGCCGCGGCGGTCCGAGCGGGGCGCGGGCGCGCGGCGGGGGCGCGCGGCGCGGGCGCGCGCGCGGCGGCGGCGGCGCGCAGGCACAAGTAGTTTACATTGTTGGGCGACTTTTGCAACAACTCGCCGCGCCGCGGCCTCCGCGCGCCGCCGCCGCCGCCGCCGCCGCCGGCTCCCGCCGCCCGGGCCCGGCCGGCCGCGCCGGGGGCCGCCGCGCCGCCGCCGCCATGGACACCAAGCATTTCCTGCCCCTCGGTGAGTGCCCGGGGCCGGCGGGCGCGGGCGGGGCGGCGGCGGCGGCGGCGCGCGGCGGGGCGGGGGGCGCCGCGGCAACTTTTCCGGGCGGCGGGGGGCGCGCGGCGCGGGGCTCGGCCGCGGCCCTGGCCCGCGGCGGCCTGGGGCGGCCCGAGCGCGCGGGGCCCGGGGCGGCCCGCGCAACTTGTGCGCCCCCGGCCCGGCCCCCGCGGGGCCTCCCGGCGCCGCCGCCGCGCCCGCCCGCCCGCCCGCCGCGGGGCCCTGCGCGGACCCCCGCGCCGGGCGGAGGCGGCCGGGCGCCCGCGCCGCGCCGCGCCGCGCCGCGCCGGGCCGGGGAGGGGGCGGCGACTTTGGGGCCGGCGCGGGGGCCGGCGCGCGGCTGTCAGGCCGGCCGGCGGCGGGGGCTCACCTGCGCCGAGTGGAAACTGGAACAGCTGATCCCGAGCGGACCCGTGCGGGCCTCGCCCGGCGGCGACCCCGGCGGGCGGCCCCGGTGCCGAGCGCCAGCCAAGTTGGCGGCGCGGCTCCCGCGCCCGGCGGGCCGCGGGGCCCATCGGAGCCCATCCGCGCCCACGAGCCCATCCGACGGATGCGAAGACTGAGCGGCCGCGGCCCGCGGGCGGCGCCGCCCGGCCCCGAGCCCCGCCGCGTGCGGGCCGCCGGGAGCGGGCTCCCCTCCGGGGGGCCGCGGCGAGGGGCTCTGCCCCGCCGGAGCGGGTGCGGGGCGCGGGGGCCTGTGCAGGGAACGGGCGCTCCCGACCTGCCGCTGGCCTCGGGCCGGCCCCCGCCCCGGCCTGGCCGCGCTGTCCCGCGTTGATTACATTCTATTTTTTTCCCGAGCTTCTGACCAGCAAGTTGAAGGCCCGCTGAAGCGGCTGCTTGGCCTCAGCCTTTTGTCAACACCAGCGCAACCCCGGGGGTGGGGAGGCCGGCCGGGCCTGTCCAGACCCCTCTGGCCACCCGGGCCAGGGCCTGGAGCTGCGGGCCGGGTTGGGTGGCCGCTCGGCGCGGGGCCAGGCTTCCAGTGCCCTGCGTCCCGGCCCCAGGCCCGGCCTCACCTGCCCAGTGGCCCTGCCGCCAGCCCTGCCCCGGCACCGCTCTGAGGTTGCGGCTTGCTGCCCAGGGCATGAGTGCCCCGGCTGGCAGGGGAGAAGGGGGCTGCCCGAGGTCCGGCCTGCAGGGACCCCCTCCAGCCCCCGCTCGGCCATGTGCTGAGAAGAGGGCGGGCATGTGGGGAGCTGCGTGCAGGCAGGGCCTGCCCCGGGGCTCACGTTGAGGCCTGCGGGAACCCCCGTGAGGGGCTTCTGGAAAGGAGGGTCAGAACTCCCAGGACCCAAAATAGCACATTCCGGGGCCTCCCGAAATAACAGGGTCACGTGGCTCCCGGGAGCCGGCCGGGGCGGCCTGCCCGCACCTCGGTCTGGGCCCGGCCCAGGGGCCCCGAGCACTTGTTTGGGTAAAGGTGGTGGGGGCTCTGTTTGTCCACCAGGGAAGTGTCCAGGCCAGAAAAACAGCCCCCAGAGGCGGCCTTGGCCTGGCTGTTACCTGAGGCGGGTGGCCGGGCTGTGCCCTGACCCCCACTGCCCAGACCCGGGTGGGTGGAGTTGCTGCCCGGCTCGCCCAGCTGTGCCCGTCCTTCAGGGCCCTGGGGAGCCACACCCCCGGGAGGCCCGCGCCACGCTTGGAGAGCCTTCCGAGGGGCCCTTCCCGAGGTGCCCCCCTGGGGCTGCGGGACTCGGGTCCACAGCTGCCCGCCTCAGGAGAGGGCGCCGGCCCGCAGAGGCCCGAGCAGGCTCCAGCCGGCCCCCTCCTGGGCGTCAGGGCTGAGACCCACAGGCTGGGACCTGCCTCGCGCTGGAGGCTTGTCTGGGCGGGCGGCCGGCTTCGTCCCGAGACGCCTCTTCCCTCTGGCTTGTGCAGTGGACAGGGATGGGCCGAGCTCCACGGTACGGCTGGAGGGGCTGGTGTCCACTCAGGTTCGCCTTTGCAATCTTTGACCCGATGATCCAGAAGCGGGTCGATGTGCGGTGCCCTGGGTGGGCGCCCAGCCCGTCCTGCCACTCCCCTTCCCTCCCACCTCTCCCTTCCTCTTGCCACCGCGCTGGCTCAGACTCCTTTGGCACGTGCACCCCCGACCCCCGCCCCTTCCCCGACAACCTCTAGGGTTGGGGTGAGGACGAACCCTGGGCAGGGGTCAGGGGGTCAAGGTCAGGGGAGAGGGGTCAAGGTCAGCTGCTGGGCAGCTTTGGATGCCTGGCCTGCTGCAGAAGCCTGTCCCCAACAGCCTCGGCCCGTGAGGGGCGGATGGCCACTGAGCCAGTGCCCGATGTTCTGAGCAGTTGTGCCCCGTGCCTCCCAGACAGGGAAATCGCACCCCGGAGTTCCAGAGCGATTGTCTGGCTCAGCAGCTGAACGAGTGTGAAATGGAGCAGAAAGCAGGAAAATAGGATGGGCCGCGCGTACGGGAGAGTGGGGCCCGCACTGGCCGCGTCCTGGTGCCCCGTGCATCTGCCCCGTCAGTGTCCCGCGCTGAGCTCTGGCCTGGGCAGGACAGGTGACCAAGCCTGGCCTGGGCTCCCGCTGGGCCTTGGATCCCTGCCTGTCTGTTTCCTCTGGGTCCCACCGGCCGCTCCAGGCCGGCCACTGGCCCGGCTGTGGGCTCCTGCTGTGTTCTGGACTCACAGAGCCTCTCAGGCCGACCTGCCAGCCCTGGGATTGGGCCCCCTGAGGCAGTGCCCCGGGGAGCCACGCCCCCTTCCCGGCTGCAGACTGTGGGGCCCCCTGAGCAGCTGGGCTGCAATCGGCCCGGGAAGGGGCTGCCTGTGATGCGGCCAGGGCCTGGGCTGGGCCTTCCGAGTCCCGTCCGCTCCCCAGGAGTAGCCTCGTTCTCTGAGATCGGGGCTGGGGCTGGGGCTGAGGCTGGAGGACGCTTCCTTGGACCTCGCCGCATCCCTTTGGGGGTCCTCTGGGGAGTGGCTTGTCCAGGCTCTCCTCAGCTGTGGGCACAGGCGGGCAGGCTGGAGGCACGGAGCGGCCCCAGCTGCACGGGGCAGGCATGGGGGGTGGGCGACATACCTGGCCCTCAGGACAGGGGGTGCCATGGTCAGAAACCTGCTCAGGCTCACACACAGGTGAATGTACACATACGGGCACACACACGTGCATGATCAGTTCGCACTGGCTTGCGCGTGCATACCCAGGAACATGAGCAACGCGCACAGATGCTCACACGCGTGCATACCCACATAGACACGTGCACGTGAACACTTATAACACATGCACATGCACGTGTGTACAGGTGCTCACACACGTGCACAGATATGCACATGTATAGGCGCAGATGCTCACACTTGCGTACAGATGCTCACACACATGCATATACATACAGCCGCTCACACATGTATGTACAGATGCTGTGCACATGCACGTGTGCACAGATGCTCACGTTTATGCACACGATGCCCACATGCTCATGCACACACGTCCTGATGCTCACACTCATGCATACATGCACGGATGCGCACACACATGCTCACACATTCGTGTACGTGTGCACAGATCCTCACACACACTCAAGCACACATGTACAGATGCTTACACACATGCACGCATGCACGTACACTCAAACGCGGATGTATATGGGCACAGATGCTTACACTCATGCACACATCGATGCTCACACACTCATGCACATGTACGTGCAAGATGCTCACACACTCGCGCACATGTGCACAAATATGCACTCTCAAACAGATAAACGTACTCATATGCACATAAGCACACGTGCCCAGTGTGTACACATGTAAGCGCACACATCCGAAGTGTGTTAATGTGCAGACATGAGCATATATATGCTTACATATACAAACACAAGCTCACACATGAGCATCTACATGTCTACAGTATGCTCACATGAGTACACGGATACACACGATACACACTAACACACATGAACTCATGCACACGTACAGACATACGAACACTCATGCCCACAGTGCTTATGTGCAGCATACACATACACGTGAACACACGTATGGACACACACGTGTACATGAACATGTGTTGGCACGTGAGCACACATGCCTATGATGTCCAGATGCATGCATACACATCCACACAATGCACAGATGCTCACGAATGAACATATGTGTGCTCACACATGCGTGTACATGTGCAGTCTCCTCTGGGGCCTGTGGTGGGTTTTGTCTGTAGTACCAGTGCGATCTGCCCTCCCGTCTGCCCCAGAGAAGTGGGCAGGTCAGAGGCTGGGCACCCCCAGGCAGGGCAGGGCAGGGCAGACCCAGGCCGGAGACCCGTGGGGCTGCAGTGGAGAGCGGGTGGGGGCGGTGCCACGGGCTACCAATCAGGGTGGCAGGGACAGCGCAGGGCCTGAAGGGGCACCGAGACGGGCCTGGGGCCTCACGACTTCCTGGGGGTCCGTGGGCTTCTAGGGCCCGAGTTTGGGGATCCTCTTCCCCCTCCGTGCCCCCTGTCCTGGGGCTCTGTACTGACCGGCGTGTCCTGTGCTGGGCTGTCTGCTGGGTCTGGGCCAGGTGAGGGAGTGCAGACCCAGGCTTCAGGCGGCTGGGCCTTGGACAGGGTGCAGAGCCTGGGGCCCTGGGGCCCTGGTCCTGGGGCAGCCACACAGGTCATTCTGCTCTGTCCACTCTGGCTGTGGCCTCTTTGGGCCTTGGGGCCTTCTGGACACTGGCCCCTTCGGAGAAGGACCCAGCCAGCCTGGGGTCATGGGCCTGCAGCTCCCGGTGCTGTCTGGGACGAGGAAGTCACAGACCAGCTGGGCACGGGGGCGGAGCCGACGTGACGGTCCTGGGGACCTCTGGGGGCCAGCGTCTGTAGCCCTCTGGGACTGGCTGTGGCTCGGCCCCAGAGCACGTGCTTCCAGACACTCGCTGGCCCGTGTGTGCCCACTGTGCGTCATGGTGGGGCAGTGGCAACCTCTGCATAGCTGTCGTGAGGCCCCCACGCGGCCCCTGGGTGGC